ACATGTTGTGGGGTTGTTAACCAATGTCATAAAACAATATGTGTACTACTGTTTCATGAGAAACTATTTGTTCTGTAAGCCTTCACCTGAAGTACAATTTAAAAAAAAAATCCAGTTACTAGAATCTGTCATGTGAGTTTTCTTTCCAGGCTGATATTCCCAGGCAAGTAGTGTGGTCTTTTAATATGTAGATTCAATTCCTTTCTTTTTTTTTTAAATTAGGAAAATTTTCTTGAATTATACTTGTTAGTACTTGTTTTGTTCCCTTACTAAGAATCTCTTTCTCACAATCTAGCTGAGCTCTACGATTTCTCCTGAATTTCCTAACTTAACTCCTTGGTATCTTTTCTTTCTCCTATGCAATAAATTTCCTCTCTGATCATTATCATGACCTCAAAAACCCTATATGATCTACATGCACGCTTATGCTCTCAACTCCTACCAAGTTCCCCTTGCTTACTAACCTTCAGCCACACTCGTCTCCTTGCTGTTGCTGGAACATGCCAAGCACACTCCTGTCAAGCCTTTGTCACTACTGTTCCCTTGACCTGGAACTCTATTCCTCCCGAAAGCCTCATGGCTCACTCATGCACTTCCTTCAGATCTCTGCTCAAATATCCCCTCAACAGAAACGCCTTTCCTGGTCACCCTTTATAATAAAGCAAACTCCCTCCCCTCTATTCTCTATTCCCTTTACTCTGGTTTCTTTTTCTTTATAGCTTGTATCATTACTTGACATCTTATATACTTGGTTAAGGATTTATTGTCGTCATTGCCCACTAAAATGTAAACTCCATTAGAGCAGGAGCCTTTTCTGTTGTGTACAGCACTGTACCCCCAGCTTCTATGTATCAGTCAGAGTCTAGTTAAGAAATAACACTAGGCATTTCAACAGGGAACACTGCAGTATCCCAGAGATAATAACTGTGGGAATCAACCATCACCTTCTAGGGCTACGGGAACAAGAGGAAAAAGGTTGGGAGCTCTGAGGAAGAGCCCGACCGAGCTCTAAGAAGAGAGCACTGCCCTTCTGTGTTGTCGTTACCTAAGCGGCCGAGGTGGGCTCATATACATCTCTGAAAAGAAAGCATGCCCTGCTGCTGATGGCGGTGGAATCTCTGAAACGGCACAATGAAGTGGTTCAGAGATTGCATAAAGAGAATGGAGGTTGGAGACAACTGCCATAGTTGCAGTGATCCTGACAGGAAGACCAAAAATCAGAAAAACAATGCCTTCTCTCTTCCTGCCTTCCAGTCTCCCTCTGATTCCTCTTATTAACAAAACCTAAGGCAAAGGAGTTTGGGAAATATAGTTTGTAGACTTCCAGCCCCAATCTCACAGAACAGAGTTGATTTGAACAGAGTAGATTTGAAACTGAGAAAGAATAGATTAATAGGGACACAACTTTGAACAGTGGCTGGCACGTAGTGGGTGTTCAATAAATATCTGTTGAAAACTTGCCACTCAGTAAACTGAGATATTAAGAGCAGAGTATTACATAGCAGTCTTGTTCTTTATTATCTGAATCGGGTGCGTAATATTAGTTTGTCATCTACACCTCTTCTCCTTTCTCTTTTATCCCCTCCTGCACTACTGCATCTTAGCTGATCTTGAGGTCCAGTCAAAGCATTGGAAGCAGGAGACCAGGTCCAACCTAATGAGACTTAGGGGTTTTTGTTTTTGTTTTTTTCTTTTTCATGTCATTCGTGACTTGGTGATAAGTAGTTTCCGAAGAATGGTAAGAGAACCAATCAGTAATTAATACAAATTTATTTCACATCATACTACACCTTCCACATCCCCACTACTACCATCCGTCCCCTTCTCCCCCATGTCGGCCCCTATAACCAGTAAGTTTCTTGATCCTGGTATTTTTGTAGTAAAGGCAATTGCCAGGTGTATCTCCTTATCTGAAAGGCATTTAAAAAAAAATCACCTAGTTCCATTTCCAATTAGTATTAAAAAAAAAAAAGAAATTTTAAAGTGTCTGATTCTTAGTAAAAATCACTATTTCGTAAGAGAGCATTACACGCTTTTAAACAGCAAATTACCCTTTCAGTCTCATCAAAGCAATTTCTTCGGATTTTTTAGAAAGACGATATTGTATACTTTGTGGCAAAAAAAAGAGAGAAAGAATAAAGATTTGTCAACCTCCTTCATTGTTGTCTTGCTGCTTTTGGGTTAAAATAAGAAAGTAAATTAAAAAACAAAAAAAAAAGTACTAGTTGCCCCCTCTGAGGTTCGAACTCAGGACCTTCAGATTATGAGACTGACGCGCTGCCTACTGCGCTAAGGAGGCAACTCTACATCATGCACGCTCGAAATATCTCCCATGATGACTGTAAGAAACAGTTTTAAGTTCTTTGAATAACAGCCTTTTTAAACTAAAACGGTACTGTGATTTAATTCACGTCTAGAACACTTTAGATGACGAAACCATGCAGACCACGGCAGGGACCGATTCCATTTCCCCCGTAGACTTTTCTGCGGAGACTTTAGGGCCGCGAGGGCAACTAAGTCATGTCTTTGAGGAAAGTCTGTACGATTCCCTGGATTCTTGTCTCACTGCTTGGCCAGAGACAGCAGCCTTTCCCTTTATAATCAAGGCCTGCGTAGACGCGCCACCTTCTGAAAGGGAAACACGATTTAAATAGCACGGCCTGCACTCTTTTGCCTCCCTTGTGAGGTCCCGTGGAGGCGCTCGGTTCCCTGAGAGGAATGAAAAAGGCCGAAGGGAGAGGGCACGCCGAATTCTTTCCTAGCTTCTCCTCAGCAGCTCCCGGCCTCAAAACAAACGCAGGGACTTGCTCTTTCCTGAAGTCCGGGCGCTTGCTCCTGGGAGTCCAAACTGATCTGGAGCCCTCAGAGTCCTCGGGAGTTCTCGGTCTGCGTGACTCCTTCCTCCTGCGTTGGTGACAAACGAAGCAGGTGTCTCTTCCCGTGCCACCCGCGGCGTCCCGTCAAGGGTCAACCTGGTAGCTGTAAAGAAGCGAACTGCCGGGTTCGGGCGGAGCAGGGGGTTCCCAGGCTGTGCCAGTGAGCGCTGAAGAAAGAGACGTCAGGGAGAGCGCGGAGCTGAGCCGGAAGGCGAGAAGAAAAAGGACCAAAAAGGGACAATATTAGCTCTTGGGAAAGTACAAGGGATGACAGGTTCTGTGGGTGGTAGCGTGGCCGAGCGGTCTAAGGCGCTGGATTAAGGCTCCAGTCTCTTCGGGGGCGTGGGTTCGAATCCCACCGCTGCCAAGCTCTTTTCTCCCTGACTCTGACGTAGTAGACATCCTATCTTCATGTTCAGTTACCCCAGTTCTCAGAGTCCAAGGCCAGGCAGGTTCTTAACCTCTCCTGACTTCTGTTTTCCCAAGGCCAGTGATAACGCCCAGACGTAACCGCCCTCGTATAACAGTGCCCAGTACTTGAAGGCCTCCAGTTAATTATTTCAACAACAGCTAATACTGAGCACCTACTGTGTATGAAAGCCCTTGTCTATTAGAAAAGGACATCATGCTTGATAAAGTAGAGGGTCGACGAAAATGAGGGAAATCCTGCATCAGACTGATTGACACAAAGCTGCAACAACGAATTCAAACTTACCAACAACTGTGAGGATGGCGCAAGACTGGGCCATGTTTCCTTCTGTTATATATAGGGTCTCAATGAGTTGGAGCCGACTGGAGGGCAACTAACAACGTGTATGATATTTACTCCCTGATCACCGTTGTATTTTCCACATCCGGAAGTATATAATACATACCAAGTCTTAATTCATTTGTTTATTGTAAAAATATTTATTCAGTGCTTACCATGTGCAGGTACTTACCAGGTGTTATAGATTGAATTGTGTCCCTCTAAAACGTGTGTCATCTTGGCTAGGCCATAATTCCCAGCATTGTGTGTTTGTCCACCATTTTGTGATTATTCTATATGTTGTAAATCCTAACCTCTATGATGCTAATGAGACAGGATTAGAGGCAGTTATGTTAATGAGGCAGGACTCAATATAGTGGATTAGGTTGTATCTTGAGTTAATCTCTTTTGAGATATAAGAGAGAATCGGAGCAGAGACAAGAGGGACTTCATACCACCAAGAAAGATGCGCCAGGAGCAGAGCTCATTCCTTTGGATATGGGGTCTCTGCCCTGAGAAGCTCCTAGACCTGGGGATGATTCATGACAAGGACCTTCCCCCAGAGCCAACGAAGTGAGAAAGCCTTCCCCTGCAGCTGGTGCCCTGAATTCAGACTTCTAGCCTCCTATACTGTGAGAGAATTAATTTCTGTTTGTTAAAGCCATCCACTTGTGGTATTTCTGTTATAGCAGCACTAGTTAACTAAGATACCAGGCTCTGCAGATACAGCAGTACTTTCTTAATCCATATTTGATAAATGATTCATGAATCAATGGCTGTCAGCCTCCTGAAAACAGCTTGCAACTGGAGATAGGTCCTGCCCATGCCACCGAAAGAATGGATTCTATTCAGAGCCAGCCTCTGTTCTCAGTATCCTTGCAGCTTTCTCATTTCGAATGTGAACTCTAATTGTGGTGAGCTGAGTTGTGGCGACTCTACGCTAGCAGCTGGGACTGCACAAAGGAGTTATCTACTCAAAACAGCGCCTCTGGCAAGTACTGAAATTGCTCCCCTGTCCAAATATCTGACACCCATCTTTTAAATAACTTTACCATAGTATTAGCTCAAAAATACAAGTTAAGCTCGTTAATTTTTTACTTAACACATTATGGCACTACATGAAAATTACAAGTGGACCTTCCTTGCTTTCACTGATGAAAACTGATCTACCGTGTACTCAGAGTCATTTTTTTCAGTTTCTTATTTTTCTATACTCAGTAGTGCAAGATCACACAGTCAGCCTTGATACATGGAGGGTCTCAAATACCAAAGCATTAGTTTTAGCTGGCTGAATGATCTCTCACAGCTGCGATGGAAACTGTGATGGTTAATAGAAGCTGCTGGGGTGGCGTCTCTTCCTCCTTCAAGTGGCGCCCAGAGCATGTGCCATAGATAAGCCTCTGCTAGGTGATGCCACCGGCGTGGGCCGCCCTCGCTTCTCTGCACTCCTCTCTGCGTTTTCCAGGGGGCGTGCCCTCTCTCTGCTCAAAGCAGTTCCGTCTACTCCCGTGGCTTCTCTTTATCCTCTAGACACCAGCTTGGAAGTTGCTTCTGCCTGGAATTCTCCCTTGATTTCGTCTTCTACCTTCAGAGTTACAATTAGCCGCTGAGGATAAGAAGAGAAACAGGACAGAGGGTCCCTGCCCTAAAGCCTACTGAGGAGAAAAAGTGTTAAACACATAATGCCTCCACTATGGTACAACTTCTACTGTAAAGAATGAGATTGATCTATGAATGATGTCTTAGATATATTGTAAGGAGGATACAGAATGTTACCAAATAGTACACAGTACAATGTATAGATGCACACACTTCAAATTGTTTCCAATGATAACAGTTGGGGAGATTGGAAAGACTAAGATTATAAATTTTACTTTTGACACTTCTGTTTGCACGGTTATAATGAGTGATTTCATAAATAGAATAACTGAATTTAAAAATACCTCAATGCCGATAAGTTTCACAAAGGAAAATGCAGTATGCTGGGAAACATACAGTAGGCCTCAGCACAGCCATTCCTTCCTCAGGCAGCCTTTCCTTACTACCACCTACTCCTTAATAGGGTACTCTGGTTGTTATGCATTGGGTGGGTACTCTGTTATCACTCCATCCATCACTTATCTTAGGGCATTATTATTCCCACCTTATGGACATTTCTGTGTAATTGTCTGCTTTTTCCCAGAAACCATAAGCTTTGTCAGATATAGAACTATATTTCTCTGGCCTCCCTAAATCATGAAAACTAAATAAATATTTGTGGTACTCTTCAATGAATAAATACAGGAAAGAATGTCTTTCTAATTTGTGACAGGGTAAGGTACACAGAGAGAAGGAGCTTGAGAGGACCCTGGGATCCAGTTATAGGTAGAGCCATGTGTTTTGAAGTTTCCTTTCCACAGGACACTCCAGCTGAACTTGCTTCTGGATTGCTAATTACACCACACTGACTTGCTCTTTCTGCACTCATTTCTGCTACCAGGTGACTGCAAACCATTTTTGCTCAGATTATCAGGGAACAAATTGATTGTATATTGTGTGGTCCAGGTATCTTTTCCCATAGTCATTCCCCTCAGTAGCCTTCAGGTGCTTGCATTTGGCTTGCAATATTTGTGAACCAACCATCAACAATTTTCAGGAAAAAGTGCGACCCTCTTAGACTCCAGACTTAAGAATACATAAATCTGTGTATAACTTTTTGAATGGGAAACTAATTTGCTCTGTATACTTTCACCTAAACCACAATAAAATTAAAAAAAAAAAAAAAAGAATAAATAAACGGATCTCCATGGCCATCTGCCCTATTTCCCAAGTCTTTACCCACTGTCTGTTCATTGGGGATAAATGTGCTAAAGCTGAAAAAAAAAAAAGGTCACCTAAATCCCTCCCCCTTGCCAGTCCTCAGAAGGCAGTTTAACATCTGCATGTGAGTAGTGGGCTTTTGAGCTTCTGGTATCGTTTTAGGACTAGGGGATATTGCTTTTTCTTTAAGAAATAAGATGTGACTCATGGAATGAAAAAGAATGCTGCCTGTGCTGAGAAAGAACCAGATCCATTACTCAGCTGGATCTGAGATGGTTTATATTGTCTTTTAACAAGGCCAGGAGACTGGTGAAGACAGACTGCAGGTATGTGTGTGGGGAGGTGGCAGAGGTAGACATTTAAGAGAACTTTATAGTCACCTGGCCAGAAGTCTTTAAATTTCTTGGCTTCCTCTCCACTCCCAAAAAGATACATTCAATTCAACTAACATTTATTTAGTACCTATTTTGTGACAGGCACTTTGCTTAATTGGAGACAGAATAAGGGATCAATGCCAGAAAATGATTTACAGGTTCCTTAGCAATTCAGCCTAGGTAGACTACCAGACACATTAAGCATAAATGGCCAATAATTAGTATTTAGATTGACTAAAATTGTAATTTATACACCTGAGTATATCTTCCAGTCATGCTATATATATGATCTCTTTGTTATATATTGTTCTTACATTTACTAGATAATCATGTTATTTTAATAAAGCTAAGATTTGAAAAAAAAAATTAGTATGTCCAGCACCATGCCGTCCTCTCTTGGTCGTCTACACTCGAGGACACCTATTCCTGGAGCCATCTGAACACTGAGATGTCCAGCTGGAAGCTGGGACCTGGAAAGGAAAAAAAAAAGGAATAATTACTC